ATTTCTTTCCACAGTTTCGGTTCCCCCCACGATTTGGATCATCGGGCACTCTTATGTTTACTGGGCTTGGCAGCGTGCGGTGCTCCAGCCTGGAGGTGAGTGGTTGGGTTTCACGCCTTCCGTAGCAGAGGTTCGATGGCTCGGTGCGAGGGGTATGAGGTGGGTTCGGCTCCTCCCTGAGTTGGTGCAGCTTTCCCACCTACTAGGGGTACCGAGTGTCCTAGTGATCCACTTAGGGGGGAATGATTTGGGTTCAGTGCCCATCTGGGATTTGATTTCGGTGGTGAAGCGGGACTTAGCCCGCATTTTGGTCCTATTCCCCAACGTGCGCTTGGTCTGGTCAGAAATCATTGCCCATAACTATTGGCGTGGCCCTAAGAGCCAGAGTGCCGTGGAGCATTGCAGGCGCAAGTTTAATAGGCGGGTTTCCCAGTTTGTTTTGGGGGTTCGGGGGATTCCAGTCTGCCAAAGGGTTTTTGAGCGTGAGGCGGCCACATTTTTTCAAAGGGATGGTGTACACCTAACGGAGGTCGGGCTCTACCTTTTTAATCTCGCCTTACAGGAGGTGGTGGAACAGGCCATGGGTGGTTTTGGTGGGGTTCCCAGCTGATTTAGGGGTAAATCAATGGGTCTGGTGGCGGGGGTATGTCCTTGCCAATTAAGTTTGAGGGGTTATGTTTAAGGATGGAGTAAGTTTCATTATGTTTGCAGGTCTCAACCTCCCCTGCTTCAAACGGTTAACATTACAGGGAGTGCAGAATTATTAGGCAAATGAGCATTTTGACCACATCATCCTCTTTATGCATGTTGTCTTACTCCAAGCTGTATAGGCTCGAAAGCCTACTACCAATTAAGCATATTAGGTGATGTGCATCTCTGTAATGAGAAGGGGTGTGGTCTAATGACATCAACACCCTATATCAGGTGTGCATAATTATTAGGCAACTTCCTTTCCTTTGGCAAAATGGGTCAAAAGAAGGACTTGACAGGCTCAGAAAAGTCAAAAATAGTGAGATATCTTGCAGAGGGATGCAGCACTCTTAAAATTGCAAAGCTTCTGAAGCGTGATCATCGAACAATCAAGCGTTTCATTCAAAATAGTCAACAGGGTCGCAAGAAGCGTGTGGAAAAACCAAGGCGCAAAATAACTGCCCATGAACTGAGAAAAGTCAAGCGTGCAGCTGCCACGATGCCAATTGCCACCAGTTTGGCCATATTTCAGAGCTGCAACATCACTGGAGTGCCCAAAACCACTGAACAAGACACACAAGCTGAAACGTCAAGACTGGGCCAAGAAATATCTCAAGACTGATTTTTCTAAGGTTTTATGGACTGATGAAATGAGTGAGTCTTGATGGGCCAGATGGATGGGCCCGTGGCTGGATTGGTAAAGGGCAGAGAGCTCCAGTCCGACTCAGACGCCAGCAAGGTGGAGAGTACTGGTTTGGGCTGGTATCATCAAAGATGAGCTTGTGGGGCCTTTTCGGGTTGAGGATGGAGTCAAGCTCAACTCCCAGTCCTACTGCCAGTTCCTGGAAGACACCTTCTTCAAGCAGTGGTACAGGAAGAAGTCTGCATCCTTCAAGAAAAACATGATTTTCATGCAGGACAATGCTCCATCACACGCGTCCAAGTACTCCACAGCGTGGCTGGCAAGAAAGGGTATAAAAGAAGAAAATCTAATGACATGGCCTCCTTGTTCACCTGATCTGAACCCCATTGAGAACCTGTGGTCCATCATCAAATGTGAGATTTACAAGGAGGGAAAACAGTACACCTCTCTGAACAGTGTCTGGGAGGCTGTGGTTGCTGCTGCACGCAATGTTGATGGTGAACAGATCAAAACACTGACAGAATCCATGGATGGCAGGCTTTTGAGTGTCCTTGCAAAGAAAGGTGGCTATATTGGTCACTGATTTGTTTTTGTTTTGTTTTTGAATGTCAGAAATGTATATTTGTGAATGTTGAGATGTTATATTGGTTTCACTGGTAATAATAAATAATTGAAATGGGTATATATTTGTTTTTTGTTAAGTTGCCTAATAATTATGCACAGTAATAGTCACCTGCACACACAGATATCCCCCTAACATAGCTAAAACTAAAAACAAACTAAAAACTACTTCCAAAAATATTCAGCTTTGATATTAATGAGTTTTTTGGGTTCATTGAGAACATGGTTGTTCAATAATCAAATTAATCCTCAAAAATACAACTTGCCTAATAATTCTGCACTCCCTGTAGGTTGCCTGAGGTGTCGTGCCCATCGAGCCTGGATAAGGTCGGCTGATGGCGGGCATTGGAAAGAGATGATTTATGACGAGGGGGGAGGTGAGAGGAAGTGGTGATTAGGAACCACTGTATGTTTATTGGCAAGGACGGTTGGGTCACTGCATAACACTATGTGTTGAGTTATATGTTTATATGTTAATTTATGATTATTTATTTCGTTACAGAAAGAAGAGATTTAATAAAAGTTATGGATGTGTTATGCAGTAATTTATTTATGTTATAATAAATGCTGTGGCCTGTTCATCCATACTAAGTTGTCTGTCGTTATTGGGGGGGTTTAATGGGGTTAGATTTGTTCTAGGCTGCATCGCGATTCCCCACTACGTACATACAAGGTTTTCCTTCATGAACCAGGAAGAAAAGGTATAATTTGTATATGCTACTCAGTTTATAATGTTGAAGCTTCAGAGAAGTTGAGACACATGTTGTGGGAGAAGGAGTTGTGTTTGAAATTTTGAAAGAATGTTTTTTTTTTTTTTTTTTTTACTGCACTTAAAGGACCACTATAATGCCAGGAAAACATACTCATTTTCCTGGCACTATAGTGCCCTGAGGGTGCCCCCACTCCCGCCGGCCTGTAGGGGGGAGGAAGGGGTTAATCCCTTACCTTTTTTCAAGAGCCGGGCTCCCTCGGCACTGGGACTCTCCTCCCTCTTCTTCAGCCAGTCCATAGGAAAGCATGCTCAATGTTTTCCTATGGACGCTGGCGTCTTCTCACTGTGAAATCACAGTGAGAAGCGCCTCTAGCGGCTGTCAATGAGACAGCCACTAGAGGCTGGATTAACCCATAGGTAAACATATGTTTACTGCAAAAAGGGTTAAACCTAGCTGAACCTGGCACCCAGACTACTTCATGGAGCGGAAGTGGTCTGGGTGCCTATAGTGGTCCTTTAAGGTAAGTTCATACTGTACCAAGCATTTTAAAAACCATTATAAGATTTTATATCATTGGTACCTGGCTCCGTCTAAACTACACAACATAAACAATGCATATTTGGACCGGTGTTGGAGGGATTGTTGAGGTACAGAGAACATGGCACACATATGGTGGTTTTGTCCAAAATTAGCCAGTTATTGAAAAATGATTCACAATTTGATTGCCAAAGTGGATAAGAATATAAGTACCTTGACATCAAAACTAGCACTATTTAAGAAACTCCCCGAGTCTGTTGCGAAAATTTACAAAATAATAGATCACATTCTAATTACAGCTACTTCATGTCTCCTTAGATACTGGAAGTCTAAAACTTTACCTACACATAAAGAAGTTTTAACAATGGTCTTAGATAGTAAAACAAACAAAATGTCTTATAGAAAAAAATACACATTTATTTGTAAATTTTAAACATATTTGGGATAAATGGGAAGAAGAAATTAAAACAACTTACTGTTTATAGAATATATATTTTATGTATAACTAATGTTTTGTACACTATTTCATATGTTTACTAATAAGGATGGATCCCCCGTTTCCTTTTCCAAGTTCCCCTGCACTTTCCTTCTCTGAATAGTATGTTTTACTATGCGTTATTTTTTGCTGTGTAAATAATTATAACTTTAATAAAAATTATTTGAAAAGAAAAAGCTGCTGATACACGTGATCGGGTGATATGCAAGTGAGGCCACAGTTACATAGTATGAATAAGTCTTTTAAGTAGACAAAACATGGCAGAAGTGACTGCTTGTTGCACAGATTAAGTTTTCAATAGTTTTAAATAAAGATAGCATGTGGAAACCTTTACTAGTTTAAGCCTTTTTACTCTGAAACTGTGCCACTTTTTCCTTGGTTTCCCATGCTCATGGTTACACAGTCTTCTAGGTTGAAAAATGGCTCAAGGCCATACAGTTCAACTTTTAAAGCAAATCTTTTTATGCTGTTGATCCAAAAGAAAGGAAAACCTCAATTTAAAAACAATGGACATTTATGCCACAAAAAAAGGAAAAAAAATAAATGTCCTTGATTCCAATAAGATATCTCTTTTGATCAACAATCGGTTCACATGCCTGTTAATTAATATTCTGTTTCTGTTTTTGCTAAAGAGATGTATGCCTTTTTTAATATATTTTGACATTCCATATCCTTATTTTTCTAACTGTAAAGAACCCTCCCTCTCCTGACAGCAAAAAAATCCCCTTCTATCACTCTCAATGAATGACCTATTGTATAATCCTACTAACAAACAGGTTATTTGATCAATCTGTACTTACTGTGCATAGTGCCATCATATCCCCTCTAGACACCTTTTTGTTAAAGAAAAAAAAATATATTTTTTTTAGCTTTAGCCTTTCTTCATAACTCATGTTTTAATTTGCCTTATTATTTTTAATTTTTTTGTATTCTTTATTTTTGGTGTGCAAGGTAGAACGTACAATGCAGATCAGACATTTCAGACAGGAGATAGGCAACAATATTGAGCAGGTGATGAATGTCAGAAAGTGTCAATAAGACTGCACATTTTTTGTATGGGAGAAGCATGCAGAAAGTAAAAGGTAAACAAATCAGGTAACTGACTTCACTAGAAAGATTACATTTAGAGTAAAATAATCAGGCATGTAGCTAGAACCAAAAGATTCAAATACCGCTAGGTTAATAGACAAGATTATGGCATATGTGCAGTTAGGACAGTACTGAATTAAAACAACTTGAACATGTCAGTCCCTATACATTATAAAAACCAGCCAAACTGCCATTGATGCCCCTTTGCCACTCAGTCAATGCCCAAAGATGGAGAGTCCCAGCCCGTTCCCTTGTCAGCCATCGCAGAGAAGCCACCCCAAGCGGCCCAATCTGCCAGATGGTCCTTTCTGATCAGCTCCAGAACAGCGATGTCAGCAGCCAGAGCTCGGGTCTTCAGTGTCGGGCCCTCACTCACCAGGCTGTATGAAGTGGGAATCTCAAATCCTTGCCTATCACACTCGGAATGAAGGGGCTTGTTCCTCTGAAGATGAGGTAGGAAGTAAGGAGCATACTTGTGTGTCTGGCAAGGTATAACCATTTGCCGCCACCACAGCACCTTGCTGACTTATACTGCCTCAGTCTGGGAACATATGTTGGCGCTATATGGACGAGGCTATGATCTGCCAGATGGCTCCAGGGTACCACTGGTTTGTCAGCAGTAAGGTAGATAGGTCCCCCACCATAAAGCTTTGCCCAGAATAGATCGCAGATCCGGTCAAATGTCCGGAGGATTGATTCCACAAACATAGGTGGTGTGTTCATGGCAGCAGGGCCTGGGGAAGCAGCCATTTTCAATTATAGGACTCTACCTTCCGACTTGCAGGAAAGTGGCAGAACTTTGTTTGGTGGATGTGTCAAAACCCTAGTGGGGACCGGTCTAAAGCAGGGCGGATAGGACCACTGCTGCTCCGCGACAGGAAGTGGGGAGCTGGAAGATGGGCCACATTTCTGTAACACCAACTACAATAGGATCTGCTTGTTTCCCCTGGAAGAGCCATTCATTGGTGAAATGTGTGTTGGGGCAGTTGTGCTTGTGGTCGGCTTGTGATAAGGGACGATGCTGCAGCAAAATGTGATTTATTAGACAGCCCCCACATAGCTACTATGTACTATTGACTCTATTAATTGGGTTTAATACCACTTTCTATTTATGCTATGCATTATTTATTTTGACCCTTACTATATTATTTTTTGCTCTCTTTTTTTAGGATGTTATACTACTTTTTTCTATTTTATTCATTATTAGGTAGAAGTTATTTAGAGGGGTGGATGCTTAGCTTATCCACAGAGATTTAACCTTTCATTTAAGAGATAAGGGGGGTTTAGATTTTTTAAGGGGGAGGCACAATAGGAGCAATATATAGTGCCTCGCTTACATCTAGGCTGCCTGTTTACCTTCCCCATCTATTTCACTATGATATTTCTGTGCAACAATTTACTCCAATAGTGGTTACTATTGTTTATTTTTCTTATAAAGGATAGCTATTCATTATACCAGTTACATATGTGCATCTATTTCTGATTGAACAAATGCTAGATTATTTAGCCAGATTCTTTATCCTTTTCTTTCTTAACTTTAATTCAATAGATTTTTCCTTAGATGTTTATAGCTTTACCTAGGCCAGGGGTTCTCAACCCAGTCCTCGAGGACCCCTGAACTGTCCAGGATTTAGGGATTACCCTGATGTGTCTAATGTGTTTTTTTTTGAGGGGGGGTTGATTGTGTGTCAACCCAAACCCTTTCAGCTCCATCCTTCTTTAATTCCACCATATTAGATGTGGGGAAAAAACGCTTTTTGATAGTCCAAATTATATCACTTGTGGGAGCAAGTTCCTCCATTTGGGGATTGGGTCGGAAACAAGTCACATGTGAGGGAAAAGAGGAGGAAAAAGGAAAGGGGGAGAAGAAACAAAAAAAACCTGAAAGGGTTTGGGCTGGCGCACAATCTATTGTGATGTCACTTCGGCCACCCTTTCAGCTCAGCCTAACACACATTCCTCGGTCAGCCGGAGCTTATCTGAATGCAGGGAGGCATGGCTTCCATGGGAGGCTGGCGAATGTGACAAGAGGCTTAGTTTGCAAGGTCACTTCCACTGGCCGAATACAAGAAATGACGCACCTGCGATAGACACCCCTGACCACCAATGATATATAAGGGATGGATAAGTTGGGTCTGGGGATTGCACACCTTTCTGCAGGTGGAGGGTGGATATGGCAAACGGCAGAGTCTGCAACGTCACTTCGGCCAACCACGGACCAGAAGTGATGCGTCCAGACAGACACCACTTAACCACCAAAACAAAACGTATATAAAAGCAGCCAATTCAGTCATCTAATAGTGGTTTATAACATGCAAGTGTACTAAATTGACTAAAGTGACTACACACAATTCGGACTTGGGATTGGCCAATAACATGTGACCCCATAGGGGAGGATTCAAAGGACCCACAAGACATTTGAAAGATGGAGGAATCTTGAGGCTACACTACAGCTGACTAAGGAACGCGTTTTGGTAAATTTGGACTTTATATTAGACTTTTTTATTTTTACAATATATACTATATGTTTTTACTTGTTATCAATAAATGTATACTTTATTTTAATTTTATACGCTATTCCAAGTCCTTGATGTCTCAAAGAATCTTCACTAGGGAAGTGCCACCCCAAGAAAAGTGGCACCCTAAGAGCCAGGCATTGAAGGCTGTTAAAAAGGTGAGCGTAATACTTACCATCAAGAGACATATCTGTATTTATACAGTATCACACATTGGTCACTTCTCTTTTTTTTTGTATTTCTCTTGGAGGAAACGCAATAGAGTGAGTGGTGTATTGCTGCCCTAAAAGCTAAGAGGTCCATTTTACAGAGCCAATATTATATAGGCTCCATACCATGCGAATTGTTCTAGTTATTTATCTACTACTGATCATTATTCTCAAGACCATCTACACTATATATTCTTCCTTTGGTTCCTTTTTTTTTTCACATGTACCTTCAAGTTTGTTATTATTCTTAATAACCTTTGCACAAGTTTTATCTATTTTATTTATTTAGCACTCCACTAATTGGTATATAGTTTTATACCATATATTGTGTTTGTGTTTTAGATTGATTGTGGAGATAGAGGTATTCAACTTTATGTGTTGAGCGGCTCATTGTATAGGCACAATATTGTAAGACTAACTACCTCCTTTGTTTTTTAACCTGTAATGTTGTTTATTCTGTAAACCGGCAATTGTTACGTATTGACAAGGTTAAGGTTTTCTTATCTCTACTTGAAAAAGCCACTGTGGTGAAACATGTTGTGGATATTTTATACTTTTTAGTTTATATTATATTAGTTAAGGTATTTTGGCTACTTCCCACTGTAAGTGTGCCACTTTACTTTTTTATATGTTACTTTTTTTTATCTTCTACCTGGAATCCGTTTTTATTGTTTCAGTGAGGACTACTCCTAAAGAGTGGGGATTATACCACTTAAACCTACACATTGAGTAGTTAGCCTGCTCAATGAAATGTGAGTAACCTTCTATTATTTTATACCCCTGGCATTTTTATATTGTGAGCACTATTGCTGTTCTTTTATACTTTTATTGTCTTCACACTGATGAAACATATGTCTATCAATATCTCCTCATATATTTTATAAGCTCTACTAAATGTTAGTAGGATTATTTAAAACTTATTTTATTATTATATATGTTTGGGATACTCTGCACCATTAGTCTTTTCTCTCTGTTTTCATATATAGCTGCAAAGAATATCTTGATCTGGCTCTTTTATAGAAGAACTCCCCTGACAGAACTGAGGCTATATCTTCTGGCAAGTTTTACATTGGGACATTATATTGGACATTTTATTGTTATTATCCTTTTTACTTACGGTATATTAGCTTTTATCTTTTTGTGCTATTTTTACTCATATAGTGTTTCTATTCTTTTGGCACTACTTCCATTCCCCTTTTTGTACTATTCCATTTGTGTGTAGGGCTAAGAGGGAGCCCTCCTAGTCGAGGTGTGCTGCCTATTTTCCATTTTGGTCTGGTTGATTAGCGCAGATCCCTTTTGTTCTATTTTTTAATCTTTGTGTTTTATGTAGGCAATTTAACTTTTTATTTAGTCCATTGTTGCATATCACCAGTGCTTAGGAATATAAAATGATTGAGCGCTCATAAAAATACTGTAAAGCATTCAGTTACTAATTATGTACACTTGAAGGCTTTATTTTTGTATCCATCTCAAGAGATATGAATTCTCACATGATCCATTAGTTGCCTCATGTTTTATAAAGAATCATCATAAATGTAAAATATCCAACAGTTTCCTTATTATCTTCTCAGTTTATTCAGTATCTCCATACTAGTCGACAATAAAGAGGAACTTACATCCATCATAATATTTTCTTAAACCATCTTACACCATTTACCATATTCCATACCTCGTCATCCTTAGCTTTTTGCCATATTTACGTTGTCCTTCTGTTTGGTGCCAATAACAATCCTTTTTTTTAACCAGTAATACGTCTCTCGAAATCAAAATAAAATTGCAAATACATGAGGTTTATACGTTCCAAAATGTATATTCATTGACTTTTCTCATTTTTCCATCTACCTTCACATAAAAAGGCACAAATGCAACACAACGCTCAAGATGTTTTTTTAGAAAATATTTTTCTCATCATATATAGTTGCAAGAGTTGATCAGTATATTCTGGCATAAACGGTATATGGCTGACATAATTGGCCTTCTTAACCCCTTAGTGACCACAAAGGTATCTGGTACATCCAACAAAAAACGGTCATTAAGGACTTGATACGTCCGCGGCTAATTAGAGCACTGGAAGCGATCATGATCACTTCCAGCCACTCTAATGGTATTACAGCAATGCCTCAATGTCGAAGCATCATGTAATACCCCTCCTCACTGCCGGGCCACCGGGTGATTGCTCCCCTGGATGTCGAAGCCTCAATGTTGAAGCATCGTGTAATACCCCTCCTCACTGCCGGGTGCCACTGGGTAATCGCTCCCCTGGAGCAATCACTTCTGGGTTGCCCCACTGCGCCCGGCAGTGGGGTAGAGCATCGGAAGCCATGAGGCAGGCCTCCGATTCTCTGCCTGTGCTGAGTGCCTCGAGAGTTAACTGGTTTTCTTAATTTTTGGAAAGTAATAAAATGCTAGAATCCTAGTATTGGCAAAAAAATATATTTTTTAGATTCTTTAACCCAAATTTCTAAATCTTTTACCTTTCATGTAGCTAGACAACAAAGTATTTTTTTTTGTCCTGTATGATCTTTAAATTGTATGCACTTTGTGCCATTCAATTGTCTGTATGTTTTGGTTAGTTATTATTTTCACTATATCTGTTCTTTTTTTATTTTTTTAACTTAACTAGTTTTTTTATCCTGTATAAGTCCTTTATTCTATATTTAAATTTGCATCGTTTTTATTTTTCAAGGAGTGAACAGAATATTTTCAAATATAAATATCACAGTAAATTGGTGGTCCATATGGAACAGATTAAAATGTTCTCTTGATGCTTA